GTCCGTCCGGAGCACTGTAGTAATGATGGATTGCTGAACATCCGTCTGTTCGGTGAGAGAACCCTAGTCTGTTAGAAAACTATCTTAATGTTACTGTTCGCTGACGACGGCGCTTTGTCTGCGCATAAATCGAATGACCTGCAGCATATGACTAGTGCTCTGGACTCGACAGCGGCTAAATTCGGACTCACCATCAATACAAGCAAAACTTTCTGTCTCTTTCAGCCTTCACCGGAGACGTATTCTCCAATATTGCCGCAAATCAACATTGGTGATGATGTATTGGAAACCACCTCCCGCTATGCTACCTTAGGAGTGTGGTGTCGACTGACCAGCACATATAGAATGAGCTACGTAGCCACGTATCAAGGCAGCAGCTGCATTCGCGAACCTCGAATACCGAGTGTAGAACCATCTTCAGCTTACCATTTCGCACGAAGTTGATGGTTTACAAATCCATGGTGCGGTCCGTCCTTCTATGGAGCAGCGAAACTTGGACGAGACCTACGCGAGATGTGGGATATCTCGAACTGTTTCATCAACTGTTTCCGCAACGGATTTTGCTCATCGGTTGGTGCGACAGAGTTGCGGACGTGGAAGTGTTGCGCCGAAGTGGAATCTATGCAGTGGACTGCATCCGTTTGCTGTAACAATTGAGGTGGCTCAAGCTTGTGTGGCGTAGGGATTCGACGCGAATACCGAAGCAGCCTTTATGTTGAAAGCTGTGTGTTGGGAAGCGGCATGTGGGGAAACCGAAGCTTCGTTACCAGTACAGGATTAAGGTGAGCCCAGCAAATTCTAATGTTGAGTTCGTGTGTTGGGAATCGAAAGCAGTTGATCGGTGTTCATGGCCCGATCTGATCATGAACGCAGTGGCCGAGTTGCAAGAGACAGCCCTCGTGCAGGCGGAAAAGAAAAGGCAGGTGCGGAAGCGACAGACGCCGATGGGTTGTACTCCTTCGAGGTCAAGCCCATGGTGCTGTAGCATTTGCAGTTGCGAGTACATAAGTCACATAGGTATAGTTAGCCACGACCTAGGCCACTGGGGATAAGCGTGCCGCTGGGAACGTACTCAGAATCGGCGCAGCGATGGTATGTACGTTGCATTCGATTTACCAACCGCGTGCCTGCATGCTGTGTTTCGCTACTTTATTTGAGCGATTTGGTAGCTTTGGTTGTTATTTACTTCACTATCTCATGATAACATCTATGTAAATAATCTACTAATTACGTAGACACGTCGCTCAGACGGAAACTGGCTAAGTTCGTTAATTTGGTTTGCATTCGTTGTATATGATTTGTAGCCTTTTTTCTGCCATCTTGAATTTATCGCGGATATGTTGATGTGACATATATTTCATGTGCTAATTTAGTGAAGAGTTTAATCGGCTTATCCGTATGCTTTATTCGATTTATTTTATTTGATAACGTACTTTTAAGTGATTGACTGCAGTTTGATATCCCAGGTAAGACTGCGCTTCATGTGCACGTTGATAAGGGGACTACCCGTCTATTATACAATGCCTCTTTCACACTGGCTTTAGGAGACAGTCGGTCGTTGCTGGAGGGGATGGGGTGCACGGTCCTTGTGGCCGTGTTGGGATACAAGAGTCATTCCATGCACCCAGTGTGGAGCGGACTACGGTCCAGCCACCGCCTTGTGTGCGCTTGATTCCCCAAATACAATGTGCTTGTGTTTGCCTGTAAAGGAATGTGGGCCGGCTCCGTTGATGAAATGTGGCTCCCATCCATATGCCTCCCGGTCTTATTCCTTCGGGTTTACACTGGATATGGGGTGTGTGGTTGGAGCTGTGGGTGGTACAGCGCAAGCCATTCATGGTCCCTCTGTAGGCGCAGGCGTCCTGTAGTTGGCCACAGTGACAGGCAAATCCGAAACCGGATGCCGCCAACCATATATATATATATATATATATATATATATATATATATATATATACATATATATATATATCATAAATATATATGAAGAAGTACCCCAGTGCTTTTGGGTACCCTGCCTGCTTGACCAGTAACTCATTGTGTCAGCTATGAATACATCAGTATACTTCCCTCCAACCCTTTTCCATCTCACCCTGTTCTCTGTACTAGAGTAGACTAACGAATTGCTCTAGTGCCTATGTTGCCGATGGTTCTTGTGGTAGATAACAATCGCCGGCTTGTTACGGAACGCTAAAAAGATTCCTGTTTAGCATACCAGCATAGCAACATTCTATCACAGTGGGAATTCTAGGTGTGGAAGTTTGAAAATGCTCAAACTTACTTGCAGGCTGTTGACTCTGTGCCGTAAATGCGTTTGAACTGGTCGTTTCATCTAACTAGATCCATCAAAGTATTGTGCACTACAGAGTCCACATTACCTGCTAAGTCACAGTCACTGTTTCACCAGCTCGGATTACTTCAGCTTTGTTGGAAATTTTTGCGCCAAACAGCCATTCATTTGCTGTCGGTTTTTCGCGCTTTGACCAACCTGTCTTTCCTAACGCAGTGATCAACTATTTGGCCATTTCTGACTTCCCCACGATTCCGATCGATGAGTCAAGGGAGTTGGAGACACTATATGCGCCCTTGCGTCGCTGGTCGTTTACTAATACTACTACTCCAGCTCCAATGTACTTTATTTCAGAGATACGTAGAATGATTTCCTTGAGCCGATTGTTGGTTTAGTCTTCCACAGAATGGTAACGTACTGTCTTAGCAGTATCAGACGAAATAAATCTGAAAGCCTTATAATTTTATGTTAGCTAATCGTGAGATCCACCTAAGCTACTGTGCCGCAAGAAAATACATTATCTATTTGGAAAAGTGAGATCCGAAACACTAAAGAGCACAAATACAGATAAAAAGCACGAAACACAATCCGTCGTATCATATTATGCTGCGGGTGTGAAAAAATGGTGGGATGGGAAGAGTAAGCGGGAGAAGAACAGAGAAACAGTACAAACCCCGTTGAAGAAAACACGTTGCTATGTCAACAGGTGTATCCAACCAAACGTGTTCACGGTCTTTCGGACCAAATCTCCGCAGTCGGGATGCAACAACCCACGCCAGCTGCGAATTGTAGGACTTCTTGCCTCTTGACAAAGTTATTGCTTGACCCACCCTCCTCTTCTCCCATCCAGACACTGCTTACGCAAGCAACGCACGATGCGGGAGTTGGCGTGCTTGCACGTGCAATACGTGACCCATCCATTAGAGCCTGCTGCGTGTTATAACAGTGCTGAGTGGTCTATATTATCTTCCCGCACCAAATACACCATGCCAAACACTCTTATTTCTTAGCGGTGCTCCCACTAAACATGGGCTAAGCTGCGAAAGCAGCAATGATCGAACCTATCTATCCTCTTTACATCTGTCGTCTTGATGGGTCAGGATTTCCAAGTGTACAGAAGGGTTGAACGGATGGCTGTATCAGATACTGACCTTCAGGGCAAGAGTGACTTTAAGCCGGTACAACATGGGGCGTACATTGGCAGAAGCACCTCGAGATTTCGCTATATGGTTTGTGACCTCATCTTCTGTTCCAGAGGCGTTAATGTAGCTGCCGGATACTAGAATTTCTGGATGAGTTCTAGCTGATCGTCAATAAGGTTTAGCATAAGTGTGAGTCCCAGTTAATCTTGGAGAAGGACTTTGTATTTCGAGGGGGCAAAATACCTCGAGATGAATGAGCACCAGAGTCAATTTATGTAATGCTGGCTAGCACATTTGTGAGCTGTCACAAAAAAGACAATGTCGTCGGCGTACTCCTGATCGAGAATTCGATCATTTGGGAGCAGTTTCACACCTTGTAGGTCGTGTGCAATCAACGTACTTTCCTTGACTATGTCGATAGCGAATTTATAAAGGAAAAGTGGCAGCAGGCAACCTTGTCTTACACGGCTGGAGATTTGGAAGAGCGACGATGGCTTGCCAAATGCTTTTACTCTACCCCAACTACGCGCCTAAGGCACTCTTACAAGGTTTGCTTACATAGGAAAGCACACTTTTCTCGAGCAAGCAGTCTCAAAGCGCACCTCTATTCATCGAATCGAAGACACCTTTGATGTCGGCGGACAGAATTAAGCTGGGTCGCCCATATAATTGGCTTTACGCCCACAATTAACGTAATGTGACGAGGTGATCAGTAAAGATCAAATTTCAACGAAACTGTTGGATCTTCATGAATCTGGCTTTCAAGGGGACCAGTTGTGTAGTACAAACTCTCGTCCAGGCAGTTCCACACGCCTCGTACATTTAATTTTGGAGCCTACCGTCAGTAACTGAAGAGGTTGCGCGGTCATTTTGCAGCACTAGTTCTGCAAATAGGTTGCAACACCCAATCCCTAGCTTGACCGCGATACATTTTGAGTTGCCTTCGTTATTTGGTTCACTGGGACCTTATCTGAAACAGACCAATGAGGTGCTTTCTGCTCGGATATAATTAAGGGTTTCAAATGTTAATCTGTAAGTTCCTGTTTCTTGTCCTCCTCTTTCTGTCTCTATCTGACGAGTGCAAATAGATACGTAACCTATCGGGGGGCAGACTACTGCGATTAGGCAGTGCCTCAAAATTTAACCGAGCCTCTTGTATTGTGCACTGATGCGGAAATCCCGTTTAAATGTACTAGTAACAGAGAACGAACCAGCTGGCTAACGGCCTGTCATTCGTAGCTCAGTGAAGAGCCGAAACCGTTTTGTGTTGGTTCAGCTAAGGATCGCGTCGAATGAAGGGCGATGTTAGCTGCTAAAGTAGGAGAAATCCTATTGTTAATTGGTGCTCACTTCCGCGATAACAGTTCACAGTAGGAACAAATGGCATGACGATTTTTCACTTTGCTTCCTAGCTTCAACGAGAAGCTGGATCGCGAACGAGTAGTTATGGGGCCTCGTGACTGGCCTACAACAGTGACGAAGGCTGCATGTAATCCCGAATGTCTGGTCTGCACATTGTTCGGTAAAATTCTGCTTTATCTCCTTATTACGTGAATGCGCGCCAGCGAAAATACGGTGGTCAGTTAGTTGTCGGAACAATGCAGCGTCAGGCACATATGCCAGACAACACAGAATTAAATCCCTTCATTGGTTCTTGGAAATATATTTATAGTGTGTTCTATAGCCATCCATTTTTGGAGCTAAAAGTAAAAAGGCGCAAATTTCGTGGAGATTCAGATGTTTGGGAATGTCAACATGCACTCCAAACTTTATGTCTGAATTTGCGGGTTTTAGCGTTAATACCCAGTGTTGTGTTTTTGTCCACAATTGACGGAGTGGGTATAACCAAAGCTGCGCCAGGGTTGGGAATCCATTGAGGTCCAACGAATCTGGACTTGTCCTCGCGTGTTTTACGGTGAGGATCCACGTAGGGCTCAGATGTGTATTCTGGAAATTTGCTTAACGTCCCATCTTTCATGCCACCATCCCGCTTGGCTGGACTCGAAGGCATGAACGTCGGACCGATTTGCATACTCTTGGGGAACGCGGCAATCCCAAATTTTATTGTGGTAGGTCCTCCTGGAGCCAACGGATCCCCTTTCGCCCACGGGTTTACATCAAATGCGTCCATGGTTCTAGAGGTGGATATAAACGGAGTTCGCCCTTTCACTTTAGCTGCGTGCTCCGCCGCTTGAGTTTGATACATCCGACGCGCAGCATCAATAGCAGTATCGCCAGTTTCGTACTTAGGGTAAGGGTTTAAACAGACGTCAACGTAACCGTAACCAGTACCCTTCTTACCGGGATTGGTATAAAAGTTTTTCAAGGAAGGCACCTTAGGTGCGACACGGACTGTTGGATCAAATGCCGTGAAACGTTCTTGAAAATTCCCGAAATAACTTCCTGTGCCCGATCGCAGTTTTGTGCCACTAGATGGTATCCATTCGCCCTTGCCAACTCGCTTAGCTTTAGCCTGTTTTCGATGTTGCCGCATGATTTCTGCGTACTTCATTCCGCCGTCACCAATGCTTATCGATATAAAGGGGCTGAAGTATCCGTCCGAATTTGCACTTTTGGTTTTTGAGTATCCCCCGGACAGGTACATGGGCGGAACACCACGCGGATTGCTTCGGGGCGCTGCGATAACAGATTGAAACGGAACGTACGGGTCTCCGATCGTGTGATACGACATCTCTTTGAAAATACCAAGACGCTGCAAGTCAGGCTTAATAGACTCCATGGTGGTAAAATTTACTTAGAACGGCTTGGGCCCAGTGGGCGTTCACACCCTCAACGAACGCTCACATGACAAGTTGGTGGCTCAGTTGAATGGATCGAATTGCGATGGCTGATCAATGGCATTTTATCTGGCCCAGTAAATTCCAGCCATTCAGTTGCAGAACTGCAGAGCAACACCTGCCGTCTACTGGCAGGATGGCAAGAAGAGCTGGGTGTGTCCATTATGGTTAAACGTGGAGTTTTAACCTGCCCAATTTCCTTAAGCAATCACCTTAAGTACAAGATGTGAAGTCGCAAAACTCAGTTGAACGTGGCTGAGGAAATCACAGTCTGGCTACAGACAATGTGCCATCAGAACCATGATAAAAAAGACGAAGAGAAGCGAAATACAATAGCAAAATTATGCAACTGGATTACGCTCGCTCCTTCTTTTTCGCTCTTATGATGAACCGCTCAGTTGCTATACCAACTTTGCAAACACACTTTATTACTTTACCTACCATGCCCTTGTAACACTCATCCGATGTTTTACGTGCTTCTTCAAGGTGAATAGCTTTATCCCCACCGATGAATTTGTTCCCTTAACATCCGACAACGCAACCGCACAACCCTCAACAGGGCGCTGTCAGCCCTGAAGTCTCATCTAGACACAGAGAACGGTCAACAGTCAAGTCGGCATGCTGCAGTTTCCAGGCTGGTTTCGGGATCGCCGTCAGTGCTAGGGCCGAGACCGCCCTCCTTGACTGGATTCGAATCAAAGGTCACCTGTGTGCTATGAGGCTTCGTGGCACTTGCGTGGCTAGTAGACATTGAGCAGACAAGCGTGCTAGTTTTGTGTTCTCCGCCTAAGCGCCACAGACTGCAGCTCGGATACTGTCAAGGACCAGTTCTATCGACATCTTTATGAGCTGCTCCTAAGTGAGCCTAAAACAGACATAATGTCGAGAGACGTCCACTCAGGCGACGGTCGGTTGTTGCCATGTGAAAACCACCTGGACGGACCGCATTGATATGATAACATTAGTTCTGATAACAGAGATAGACTACTTGTGCTGACCACCAACTTTTCCACAAACCATGCACAACGCTGGTGTTGCAATTTCATTCGCTTACACTAATGCTTGTATTCGCTGGCTTCGTTGCATCTAACTGAATGGCCGGTTAATGGCAACCCGCGTGTGCGCGAAACAATTATGACAACAGTCAACATTTAAGTTGGCGCGCTGTAGGTTCTAGCCTGAACTACCCGAAGTGAGTTTGGACAATGAGGCACTTGTTCCATTGCAATACTACCCAGACTGTTGAGATCGAGGTGGTTTGGGTGAAAACAAATTCCCATATTCAATGTGGTGATGCATAATGAACAGACACGGCCTTGCTACCACGAACCGGTTTCTGTTACCGTCCAAGGCACCCAGGCGTACTTGTACCCTGTGAGTGGATCAGCTGCACGACATTACTGACTTGAGAATGTAATTCAAAAAAGTTCACCATCATCCATCCAACCTTACAACTGTAACTTCACTCCTTGCTGTTATATTCCCCCCATTCTTGGATTTGCAGGGTAGAACATCCGTTTAAAACTGCCGAATGATATCAAAATTTTGGTGCAATGGTTCTCCCAATTATTCGCGCAGCCATTTTATATTGAGCCGATGCGGTCACCTTGTCCAGTGACGACCTTAGAATAGGTAGCATAGTCGGCAATATCCACCGCCACATCAAATTACACAGCGTCACTCCTGGACTAGCACTAGTTAGTACCTTTGGGAGCACACAGCTTTAACGAGTGGACAGCATTGTTTACCTAGAAATCTAAGGTTCTGCTGGTCATAATAATGGAAAGAAAGTGCCTTATTTTATCGCCATAGCCGGATTAACGTTCACCAAATTTCGATGTCTGTGATCTACTTCTGGACATTTCTACGTTGTTAAGGAGGAGTATTCGTGATGTTACCATCCTTGGGAGCCTTGACTGGCTTGCGTGAACTACATCCACTTGTTCACAAGCTTTGAAAATAGACGTTTTTGGAAGAGTACCGGGTTGGTGACAATAAAGAATTGTAACAGTGAAATTGAGTGCATTTGCTTGACAGCTAAAGCGCCTTACCTTCCACAAGCCTGTCTCGCTACGCCGACCGATCCCTCCAAGTCGTGTTATGCATACGTCTCGCCGGCGACTGCTAAGCTGGGATTCAGCTGCATGCGTAATAATGCATTGGAAGTGATGGTGCTGTCGGCATTACGATGATTGGCAATAAATATTCAACTTATTGATATCCGTTCTGGCCATCACTGAATTCTAGATTCGATAGTCAGAATACAAGGATGAAAAATGCCGACGGTTCGAGAAAGCCAAAGATATCGAGATATACTCAAGTTAGTGGAAGAACTAATCTTATGGATGTTTGGACTCATGTGTTTAGCCATCCAGTTCGTAAGAATGACAAAAGGCAAAAAATGGAGAGTGGAAAAATAGAGCAATGGTGTATTACGAGTAAGAAAGTAAGTTGGTGACTAATTCATCAATTCTAGTCTCACTCAAACACCCATCACACGCCCTGAAAAACACTGTCATCATCATCAACTTCATGACACACGTTAGCTAGAGGTGGGAAACACCTCAGCTAGTGTGCCGCAATACCTAAAAGAAAAAGGAGAAAAAATGCAACAGGTGCAAGTCAGCTGAGCTACCGGTAACGGATGGGCATCGTCCCGGTAAGCTACTAGCCAACTACTAGGCAACAAGAAAAATTATTATGTAAAATTATATTATGCTACGAAATGAGATTTTGATTGGACGGGGAGGCCAAGACAGATGGGGTGGGATAAAGAAACTTACAGCACGAAAGCCAATGAGGTCGAGTCCTAGCCATATCATCAAGTGTATCTAGCCAAACGTGTTCATCGTCTTTTGCACCCCAAGCAGAGAGCCGAGACGTTCCCACCGAGGCCAGCTCCGAATTTTGAAAGCCTTCATTCCTCTCGACCAAATCATCGCTTGGCCACCTCTCCTCTTCTTCCATCCACACCCCCAGCACGCAAACAAACCACGTCGCGGGAGTCGGTGGACTGGCATGCGTAACACGTGGCCGAGCCATCGGAGCCTGGTGCGTGAAATGACGGCGCTGAGCGGTTCATTTCATTTTCCTGTGCCGTAAATAAGACGTCGAACACGCTCGTTGCTCACGCGGTGTTCCCACCAGATGTGAACTAAATTACGAAGGCACCGGTGATCAAACCTAACTAGCCTCTCTATGCCCGCTGATCTAAGGGGCCAGGTTACACAACCGTACAGGAGGGTCGAAGGTACAGCTGCATTGTACACTCTACCCTTCAGGGCAAGAGTGATGTCGTGCCGCCGCCATAAGTTGTGAAGGTTAGCAAAAGCGCCTTGAGCTTTTGCTATGCGGTTCATGATATCATCTTCAATCCCACGGGTGTTGATAAAACTTATCTGTTTTGTGGCGCGTGATTGAATTCGAATCGTTATCCTGACGGTACTTCTCCCGTTTGCATTGTAGAGCACCACTCCTGCGCAGTTACCGAAGACGGAAGATATCTCGAAGGAAACGGTTAACCGTAACTTCTCTTTTTCCTCTTTTTACACTACTGATTTCCTATTATAGAGACTACGTGTTGTGTAATACACTTTCCTACTCGACCATCGGTCTTCTCCCTGGTTTGCATACTACAACTTGGCGACCCTGCCAGGATCCCCGCGGAAAATGTCGAATTCGTCAAATCGAAAGGTCGCCGTACCAAAGGATCAGAGCGAATTCGCCGGCTTGAAGCGCGATGGAGATCTGGCCAAACTTAGCAATGCTACTCCGCAGTCTACCGAAGTCAGATGTATCCCTTCACTCCCTGCGCCGGAGAAATTCTGCTTGGGAATGACTTTCACCACCTGGTCGAAACATGCCAGAGCGTATGTCAGACACTTCCCCAACGAAATGAGAGGTTGCGTCTTGCTAGGACTCCTCTCAGGGGAGGCATTGGACATTGTGGCTGATAGCGATGTGCTGGAAAACGGGGTTGATGACAACACGTTCGACGCACTGTCAAAACTTCTCGATTCCCCGCTTCTGCCTACGCAGTGGAGGCAAGCTTTCCATGCTCGCGTTCAGCAACCCGGTGAAACTGTACGGTCGTTCACAAGGGAGCTGCGGCGCCTTGGAGGATACGCATTTTCAGACGACGTTCCCGAGATCCGGGAAAAACGAATATTGCAACAATTCGTAGATGGAGTCCGAATACCATCGATTCGTCGTGAGTTGTTGTTATATCCGCCGGAGAGTTGGGGTGCGGCCGTGGAATTGGCTGAGAAATTGGAAAGAGTCGATGCCGCCATGCGTCCTACATCATCGTGTTGTTGTGCCGTGGGGAACCGTTGCGAACCTGAGTACAAGCTTTCAGAACCGAGAATTGCGAATCGTGGGCTCCCTCGCCCTCGACGCCCACACCAGCCCTATTTCAGAGGAGCTCGCCCACGGCCACTGGAGCAAGGATACCGTGAAACATATCCTGTCCACAGCAAACCAGAAGGTGAGCGACATTCTGCAATTTCTGATTTCATACCCGCTGTCACTTGCCCCTCGTCGGTGACTTTGTCGTTAACTTTAGAACTGCGAGTTTCCGGAATCCCATTGATTGGTTTGATCGACACTGGCGCCTGCAAAAGCTTGATTAGGTCTGATTCTACGTCACAACTAACTAACTGTACGCGGGCTCCCTGCCGTTACCGTTTGACCGCGGCAAACGGGGGATCTCTCCCTGTTCGTGAAACAGTCACTGCTTTAGTCGAGATAGCGAGTGATACATTTCACCACGAGTTCGTTGTTGCTGATAGGATACCTTTCAGTGTCATCATTGGAATGGATCTATTGAGCCGGTTGAGATGTAGATTAGACCTGGATAAGTTTCAGCTAAGCACGGATACCTATACCGTGTTGCTCAGGCCTTATCGTGGTGACAAGGTAGAAACGTTTGCAATCTGGGAGGATACTGCTGATAATGAACAATGCATAAACGACTTTGTCTCAGCACTCGGCTCGCCTGTTGACAAGCGAACTTTGGAGAGATTAAAAGAGATATTACGCAACCACTCTGAGGCATTTGCCTGGCGCCC